ATTCACCCTATTTCCATTTGTAAAGCAATAGCTTTGTTGAGATATAATTCACATACCACACAATGCAACTACTTGAAGTATACAATTCAATGCGCTTTAGGATATTCATGGAGCTGTACAACCATTGCTACATCAATTTTAGAATATTTCCATGGCCCCCTCTCAACAAAGCCCTGTTCCCATTAGCAGTCACTCCTCTTCTCCCTTCCTTGAAAGCCTTAAGCAGCTACTAATCTGCTTCCAGTCCCTAGATAGGCCTATTCCAGACATTTCATATAAATGAAATAATATTCTGCTACCATTTATGTCTGGCTTCTTTCATTTAGCAGGTTTTCAAGGTTCACCTATGTTGCGGTATAAACCAGTGATTTATGTCTTTTTTTTGCTAAATAATACTCTGTTGCTATGGGCTTCCCTGGTGGTTCAGATGGTAAAGAATCCACCTGCAATGCAGGAGACCTGGGTTTGATCCTTGGGTCAGAAAGATCCTCTGGAGAAGGAAATGGCAACCCACTCCAGTATTCTTTCCTGGGATATCACATGAACAGAGGAGCCTGGCGGGCTATAGTCCATGGGGTCACAAGGAGTCGGACATGACTGAAGCAACTTAACACACACATATTCCATTACTATGTGAATATATTTTATTTATTCATTCATCAATTGATAGACATTTGAGTTGTTCCATTCTTGGATTATTATGAATAATTCTCCCATGAACGTTTGTGTACAAGTTTTTGTGTGAATGTTTTCAATTCTCTTGGGTATATACCTAGGGGTAGAATTACTCGGGTTGCATGGTGGGTTTATGTTCAAAGTTTTGAGGACCTTCCAGACTTTTCCCCATAGTGGTTGTACTATTTTACATTCTGATTAGCAGCGTACAAGGGTTACAGTTTCTCTACATCCTCAACTTTGTTATTAAATATTATCTTTTTGATTATTGCCATCCTAGTAGATATGAGGTGGTATCTCATAGTTTCGATTTACACTTCCCTGGTGGGTGGCTAATGAGGTTGTGAATATTTTCACGTACTTAATGGCCGTTTGTATATCTTCTTCGGAGAAAAGCCCATTCATATCCTTTGTACATTTTTTTAGTTGGGTTATATATATTTATTCAGTTTTGAGTTCATTCTGGGCTTCCTAAGTGGCACTAGTGGTAAAGAACCCACCTGCCAATTCAGGAGACGTAAGAGACCTGGGTTCAATCCCTGTGTCAGGAAGATCCCCTGGAGGAGGAAATGGCAACCCACTCCAGTATTCTTGCCTGGAGAATCCCATGGACAGAGGAGCCTGGCAGGCTACAGTCAATGGAGGTCGCAAGAGTCGGACACGACTCAGCGACTAAACCACACCGCACCACATCTAGAATATAGAAGGAACTCTTGTGTGCGTGTTAAGTCGCTTTAGTCGTGTCTGAACCCAGGTCTCCTGCATTGCAGGCAGATTCTTTACCACCTGAGCTACAAGGGAAGCCCCATATTCTAGATACAAGTCCCTAATTATATTTCTGTGTCTTGTGATCATCCTGAGGATGGGGACTATTCTTATTCATTTCTAGCTCCCAGTACTTAGTAGGTCTTCAATAACCCATAAAAGACCATATCAACTGTACAAAGTATTAATAACTATGTACCAGTGTCAAGGAAAACCTCTACAAAAACTAAACTGGGCCTTGAATAAGCAAGAGCCTGCCCCAGTGAAATGCAGAGAAGGGGGAAAACTTGCTGTTTACAGGAATTGACAAAGAAGTCCAATGTGGCTACAGGTTGTGGGGAGTAGTCAGTAAGGCTGGAAAGGTAGAGTAAGCCAGTTGGAGGGTTGGAAATGGATGTTCACACCAAGTAAAGGGGCGTTTCATCCTGAGGGCAGAGGGGCCACCCATTAAGCAGGCAGAGACGTGATGAGCTATGTTAGATGGATCTCTGCGGAGTTTCCCCTGGTGGTCCAGTGGCTAAGACTGCCTTCCAATGCAGGGGGCACGAGTTCAGTCCCTGACCGGGGAATTAACATTCCATATGGTGCGTGGGGCAGCCTAAAATAAGAATTTAGGACTTCTCTGGGTTAGTGGAGGGGCATAGTTTGATGTCGCCTGAATTAGAATCACCTGGAGGGCTCGTTAAGACAGATTCAGAGTCCCACTCTGAATCAGTTTCTTCTTATTCAGAAGATCTAAGGTGGGGCCTGAGAATATACATTTCTTACAAGTTCCCAGGGAATGCTGGTTTGAGGGCCACACTTTGAGAACCACTGATACAGAGGTTGAGATGCAGAGTGGGTAGCAGTGAGAGTAGTAAGGAAGCTACTGAAATAGCTCAGGTGAGAGATGATGGAGGCAATATAGGCAGGGGTTCACATTTTAGATCTTGGTGCTAACTCCAGTGTCTTATTGGTGACACTTCAGGCATGGTAATAAGCCAGTGGAGAAAAGGGAGGCTGTTTTGGGGGGCTGGATCAGCCAGTTGGTCAGAATAGTCCCCACCACCGACCTGGGGGGCCCAGACCCAGCCCTGGTCATGACCTGCAGAAAGCACAACAGACACAAGGGGCCCAGGTTTGTCGTTTAATGCCCAATCATCACAACATGAGGTTTCACATGGTGCTCGTCAAAGCAGGACCAGAAACCAGGCTGGAGATAAGTGACCCGCGTGGAATCCCAGCACCGGGACCAGGTTCCCTCTGGACATTGGTGTCATGTCCAAGGCCCCATCCAGGAGCCAGCAGCTTGCTGGCCGGGTTTCTGCTCATCGAGAGCCCCAAGGATGAGGCAGGGACTTCAGGACGCAGTGACAAGAACCAGAAAGCTGCTTGCAAACAACCCCAAAAGGCTTTCACTTCAAATGCGTTAAGCCACACAATGCTCGGACACAGGAACACCCAAACTCTTTCACTAAAAACTAACACAGCACAGAACTGAGACCGAACACCTGGAAAGGAGAAATGAAGTCGAAATCACAGGACAGCCAGCTTTAATGTACTGCAACGTCCTCCTCTTCCCTGTGGCCGCACTGCTCAGACCTCAGTGTGGCCGTGGAGAAGGGAGGCGACGCTGGTTTTAAGAAATGTCTTCAAATCTCCAAACAACTCTACCAGACGACTTAATGCTACTGGGTTCCCGGCAGCCCCTGTGCCTCAGGTGCCCCTGGGGGCATAAGTGACAGGGGTGCTGCCAGAGGGACTGGGAGATTTCCTGGCAGAAATAAAGTACCTCAGAAAGAAACTGGCTTTTCTTCTACCCTGGTTTTAAAGTTTATTGGGCCCCTAAAGGGAATTCCACTCAAAATGCTTTTTAAAGCACTTGATGGAACTTGGGAGGTTTCAGGCGTCACTGGCAAGAAAGAGGCACGAACTTGTTTCCTGCCTGGAACCTGAGGATTGGCCCGGGTGGTCCAGGCCCTGGGCCAGGCTGGGTGTGGAGGGGCGGGAGGGGAGAGGGCGGGGACAGCTGCTCTGGATACAGGCCATGGGCCCAAGGGGCAGCCCCTCTGTCCGGCCCTGTGGCTGGGCTTTTGGGGAATGAGCTTAAATTCTGGCTGGACTTCATCATTAGATTCATTCCTGGTGGGTCCTGCCAGCCTCTTCTCCTTTTTTCTCTGATTTAATTCTAGGAGAAAGCTCCAGCCAGCGCCCCAGGCATGGAAGTCAAAGGTCTCCGTCCTCCGAGATGGCACATAGCTAAACCATCTCACAACAGTCATGCCATCTTCAGCCCCACACACCCCAAACCAGGTCCCAGGAAGCACCCCCTTCCCTCCACCCAAGGGCCTGGGGGGAGTCCCTTGGCCCTGGGCATGTTGGGCTTCCAAACTGACTTTTGCTGAGACCCCTGTATCTGGAGAGGAAAGGTGACACGCACCTCTGTAAAAGGCAAACAATTGGCCCTGTTTATAGACTGGGGTAGCTGGGACCATTCCTGAGAGGGTGCTGACTTGAGGACCAGGAAGTTGGGTCAATGACAAGGCCTGACCATCCCCAGCTGGGCGTTAGCTCACATCGGACCCCACCCCCAAAGAAGCCCACCTTCCAAACTTCAGATGCCAGTAGGTCAGCTCAGGAGCAACCCCACGGAGCCAACTTCATATTTGAAACCAACTTAATGCTACAAACTTAAAAAACAAAAAAAGTGCTGTCCTGCTGAGCCCCTGAGGAAACCTAGCTGCCTGAGGGTAGGTGGGTAGTGGGTCTCTCAGACCACCAACACCCTGGGCTGCCTCTCTCCAGAAGGCATAGCCTGGCTTCACCCAGAGCACCCCCTCCCCAAGTTGGGTGGGGAAGGAGAGCTGATTCCTCGCTACCCAGTCGGGCTATATGGACAGCATGGGATGGTCCAGCCTCTGGGGGATGGGGAGGAGGTCAAAAGACCGGCTTATTAATAGGATCCCAAGCCTGAAGAGGTAATCTGACTGTAATCAAACAAACATATCCCCATTTGTTAGCTGCCAATGTTTGGTCTGCAATGAAGACCCTTCCCTGTCACCTTTTCAACATCCTGTGACAAAAGGAGCCAACGTGCCATCAAGCCATGGTCACTTCTGTCTCTAGGGGGGTCTGTGTGAGAGCTGGGGGCAAGGGGAGGTCCTTAATCACCCCTTTCAATGAATGCGGCGAAAAAAAAGATGCTTCTGGGAATGGGGAGGCCCATACCAGCAGCTACCGCAAGAGGTACTTTCTGGCAGTTTCTTCCTTTCATCTCACCCTTGTCTACAGTAAGGCTGCCTTAGCCTCCCATGTCTTCAGTATTAAAGTGAGAGGCAACCTGTCCCAGTGAGAGGCAACCACAGAGCAAAGGTGTCTATAGCAACATTTCCCGCTTCTGTGCTCCTGCCCCTGTTTCCCCAGGAGCTCTTCAGGGCTGACCTCCCCCCACCAGGAACCCCAGCTCTGGGACAGAGAATGGGAATCCAGCGGCTCCCTCTCGCTGGAGTGAGGAGGCCGAAGTGCAATTGACATTCCAGAAGACTGGATGGGCCCTCGGGCCCAGCCCGCCGTGTTGAGGGCAGTTGGGGATTTGGCCTGGGCCCCTGAAAGCCCCCAGCCTGCCCTTGGACAGCAGACGGCGCTGGGCATGTCTGAGGAGCAGTCTTACTAGAAACTAGAACCACCTCCCTGCTAAAACTCAGGGAGGGCAGATAAACAAAACTCAACCTGCAATAAATACAAAGGCATTAAGTGCTTCTCGATAAACCGAGGGACCTAGTGGACCCTCAAAAAGGCAGTCGCTGGGCCTCTCCTTGGACCCAGTCCCCTCCTCTAGAGCCCTTCAGGCAAGAGGTCAGAGATCAGGAGGCCGACCAGGCCTTCCCAGGCCCGGCTTCCAGGAGGAAGGACAGGGCCTCACCCCTGCTGGGCTCCCACCCCGTATCCTCCACCTCCCCCGGGACAGCACCGACTGGCAGGTGGGAAGGAAAGGAAGGGGCGGGGGGGATCCCTTCCACTCTGAGGGCAGCACCTCATGTCTCACGTCCTGTGAGGAGGTAGAAACGGGCCGGGCTGCCCAGGGCGAGTGGGGGGTGCAGGCAGCGCCAATTCAGTTAATCAGCAGGTCCCCGAAGTCGTAGGTGTCGAAGAGGTCGCTGATGCCCTCCCCGCCATCCAGGCCCCACAGGTAGTCATCCTGGTCTAAGGGCGGGGAGAAGCTGATCAGAGGGGAGCTGCAGGGCAGCGTCGGGGACAGGAACTGGTCCTCCGTCTGCTGCAGCAGCGGGTGCGGCAGCTCCAGCATGTTCTCCGTGGCCTCCAGGGGGACAAGGGGCGGCGGGGGTGGCGGCAGGACCTGCGGGGACGTCAGTGCTGGCTCTGCAGACAGACAGACAGACAGGGTTATGCCCAGTCCAGTGCCCCACCAAAGCCTCCGCCAGTCAGACCTCTGAGAACAAGAACCGCCTCTAGGTTCCCTGGGTAGCTGTGCACCCTGCACGTGTCTCCCATCCCGGCCCTCGCCCGACGGCACAGGACACCTCCCTTTCCCACCCCAGCTCCAGCAGCGCCCCGCTCCTTCACCCGCACTCTCTCCCCTCTTCTGTCCCTGCACGCACCCCCAGCTTCTGCTCCCAACCCTCCCCACTTTCACCATCAAGGCCCCCACCCCTGAAGTCATTCACTGTTCTCTTTTTTCCTGCATCATCAACACTTCTCACTCTCCTAGGTCTTTCCTGTGGACGCACAGACATCCTTTAATAACTCTTTCTTTAAAGAGCATTCCTCCCCTGACCTCATGACTCTCCCTAATTACCAGTCCATTATACTGCTCCCTTTTGCAGTGAAGTTTCTCAAGAGTTACCCATGGGACTTTCCTGGTGGTCCAGTGGCTAAGACTCTGTGCTCCCAGTACGGGGCGCTGGGGTTCAATCCCTGGTCAGGAAACGAGATCTTACATGCCGCAACAGTTAACATGTCGCAACTAAAGATCTCGCATGCCATAACTAAGACCTGGCTTGGCCAAAAAAAAAAAAAGTTTCCCGTGTTCACTCCCTACCTCCCCACCACTATCCATGCTTCAGCCCGCTCCAATCTGGGGTCTGTCCCCACCACGCCACGGAACCAGTGCCCTCCATGTTGCTCAATCCAGTGGTCGGTTCTCTGACCTCATCCTGTTTGACCTGCCAGCAGAATCACACGCAGTCGCTCGCAACTTTCTGGAAACATGTTCTTCCCTTGGCTTCAGAGGTACTAGATTCTCCTGCTTTTCCTCCTACCTCTTTGGCCGCTTCTCCTTGATCTCCTTTCCTCTTCCCAACTTCTAAACCCTGAAGCCCAGGGGCCCCATCCTTTGATTCTTCTCTCTTTTGGTTTCACTCCTGCCCAGGTGATCTCAGCCAGCCCATGGCTTTATATCTGTCTCCAGACCTACTGCTCCCAGGTGGACACCTCCAGCCTGGCCCCCACTGCCAGGCTCTGGGCTCCTGCTTCATCTCTACTTGGTGTCTACGCAACATCAGAGCTCAGCATGTCAAACCACACTCCCGGTTTAGTTCAGTTCAGTCGCTCAGTCGTGTCTGACTCTTTGCGATCCCATGGACTGCAGCACACCAGGCCTCCCTGTCCATCACCAACTCCTGGAGTTTACTCAAACTCATGTCCATTGAGTCAGTATTGCCATCCAACCATCTTATCCTCTGTCGCCCCCTTCTCCTCCTGCCTTCTATCTTTCCCAGAGTCAGGGTCTTTTCCTGTGAGTCAGTTCTTCACATCAGGTGGCCAAAGTATTGGAGTTTCAGCTTCAGCATCAGTCCTTTCAATGAATATTCAGGACTGATCTCCTTTAGGATGGACTGGTTGGATCTCCTTGCAGTCCAAGGGACTCTCAAGAGTCTTCTCCAACACCACAGTTCAAAAGCATCAATTCTTTGGCGCTCAGCTTTCTTTATAGTCCAACTCCCCAAACCTGAGTCTTCTCCCATCATATTCAATAAACCCCCACCCACTTAGTTGGGTGTCCCTGATAGCTCAGTTGGTAAAGAGTCTGCCTGCTATGCAGGAGACCCCAGTTTGATTCCTGGGGCAGGAAGATCCGCTGGAGAAGGGATAGGCTGCCCACCCCAGTATTCTTGGGCTTCCCTGGTGGCTCAGCTGGTAAAAAATCTACCTGTCATGCGGGAGACCTGGGTTTGATCTCTGGGTTGGGAAGATTCCCCCGGAGAACGGAAAGGCTACCCACTCCAGTATTCTGGCCTGAAGAATTCCGAGAACTGTATAGTCCATGGGGTCGCAAAGAGTCAGACACGACTGAGCGACTTTCACTTTCAGCCACTTGGTTGGGCTTAAGCCAAAAGGCCCAAGAATCATCTGAAATCCTGCCATTTCCCCCGAATCTAACCCAGCAGCAAGTCTGGTCACCTCCACAACCACATCAACCCTCCACGCCACCCACTGGCTCTTCAGCCCCGCTGCTGTGGTCTGGGGCTCATCCCAGACCTCTGGACCTCACTCAGGCCTCTGCCAGAGCCGCCTCACCAGTCTTCTCGCTTCAACTCTTGGCCCTCAGTCTATGCTCTGACTTAAAAATGGCTTAGAGAGACTTCCCTGGTGGTCCAGTGGTTGAGACTCTGCACTTCCAAAGCAAGGGCTCTGGGTCCAGCCCCTGGTCAGGGAACTAAGATGCCACAAGCTGTGCGGGGCCACCAAAAAGTTTTTTCTTTAAAAAAAAAAGACAGAATAAAATCCAAGTTCCCACCAGGACTGAGTAGGCTCTGTACGATCTGGTCCCTGCCTCCCTTTCTGTTCTCTCTCCCGCCTACCTCCCACAGCTCACGCCCACCTCTCCAGACACACGGGCCATCACCTCCTCTTCAGCACACCCAGCGCATTTCCACTTAGATGTAAGGAGGCGATTCCCTACACAGGCATGTGGAGCAGGGCACTGGAAATCCCCTGCCAAATATACCCTGACACCTAGAATCTCACCACCTGAATTGGTCCTTACCAACAAGGCATTGTTTTGAAAATACAACCATGCTGGTGTGCCAGACTGCCTGATCAACTTCCGAGCTGGGCGACTTCTTGGGTGGCCCAGGGGTTAAGAATCTGCCTTGCAAGGCAGGGGATGCAGGTTTGATCCCTGGTTGGGGAACAAAGATCCCACATGCTGTGGGGCAATTGAGCCCGCACACAGCCTGCGTGCTGCAATGAAAGATCATCGTATGATGCAACAAAGATCCTGCATGTCTCAACTAGGGCCTGATGCAGCCAAATAAATATTTTTAAAAATGGATGGAAGGAAAATAAAATAAAATTCATGAAAAATCCCTAGAATTACAACAAACAAACAACACACACACACACACACACACACACACACACACACAAACCTCAAGCAAGCTGTATAATTGTGTGGGCAGATGACAGCGTTCACAGGACTCCATTTCCTCACCCCTAAAATGGGAATTTCCCTGATGCTGGGAAAGATTGGGGGCAGGAGAAGGGGACGATGGGGGATGAGACGGCTGGATGGCATCATCAGCTCGATGAACATGGGTTTGGGTGGACTCTGGGAGCTGGTGATGGACAAGGAGACCTGGAGTGCTGCGGTTCATGGGGTCGCAAAAAGTCGGACATTCCTGGGCGACTGAACTGAACTGACTGAAGATGGGAATGATGATACCTGCCTCTGATTGTTGAGAGGCTTAAATGGTAAGTGAAGCTAAAGAACAGCTGGTCTGTAGGCTGCCCTTCTGAAAAATAAAAATAGATCCCGTTTACTGAGGGCTTGCTTCCCAGGTGGCTCAGTGGTAAAGAATCCACCTGCCAATGCAGGAGATGCAGGTTCAATCCCTGGGTCAGGAAGACCCCCAGGGGGAGGAAATGGCAACCCACTCCAGTATTCTTGCCTAGAGAATTCCATGGACAGAGGAGCCTGGCGGGCTACAGTCCACGGGGTCACAAAGGGTTGCACATGACTTAGTGACTAAACCACCACCAAGGGCTTACCAGACCCCGCTCTCCTCTCAAGGAGAGGTCTGTGGCACCTCCTCAGACACTCAAGCAGCCCCAAGGGAGGCATTGTTATGATGTCTATTTACAGATGAGGAAACTGAAGCTCAAAGAAGCCAATCAAACGTAGTATTTGCATGAAAAAAAAAAAAGAAAGTTTGTTTAGCACACTGCAGAGGCCTGCAGGTGTTAAGAGGCCTGGCTTGGGAGCGAGGAAAAAGACTGAGAGCTCAGACGCTAGCCCCTTTCACTGGCAACAGGACCCAGCACCTCGGTTTTCCCACCCAGAAAAATAAGGACCCACCTCCCTGAGTTGTGGAAGCAGTTACTGAGCTGTCACATGTGAGAAGTTCGACCCCAGGTCAGGCTCCTCTCATCCATCCACCCACCCATCCATCCATCTGTTCATTTCCCCTCTCTCTCTCTCTCTCCTTTCTCTCTCTCTCGCTGTTGATTACATCCAGCAGAGAGCTGCTCTTTGTAACATCTGTGCCTCCCCTATACCCTGAATGGTTCATATCCACTTAAACATCTCCAAACCCACACATAGTAGGTGTTCAGCTCACATAAACTTTTAAAGTCACATTCACACTGCATCCTCGCCTGAAACGCACCCAAACATCACGAGGGAGTTTTAGCATCTCTGTTTTAGAAACGTGGGAACAGAGGCTCAGAGGGGTTAAAATGGCTCCCCCACCATCACCCCGTCATAGAAGGGGAAGCGCAGACTTGAACCCAAGCCTCCCAACTTCAGCTGGGGCACCCTCAGCCAGAATGTCAGAATGTCACAGCCTAGAGGGATGTTCAATGACCCAGGTTCCAACCGTCCCGTTACAGACGAAGGAAACAAGGTCCCAAAGTGTTTTGTGATTCCCCTAGTGATTCCAGAACTGGGAAACCATCCCTTCCCAGGATGGGAACCTGGGTCCCAAGACAGCAGTGACTTCCTCTTTGGACCTGGCCCTTGGACCTCAGGATGACCCTGCTTCAAGCCAGAATGTGGAGCATGTGCACATGTGTGTGTGTATAATACCTTCTGGAAAACTTCTCTTTTCAGCAGGGACATCACTAAGAGACCATGTGACAAGGGTGGAGGGGGTGGCAAGGGCTCGGGCCCTGGCACAGAGCTGGCCCCTCCATCGGCTCTTCTGTAAACCTCTAGTCCTCTGGGGCCTCAGGCTCTTGACTTGTACGAGTGAGGTAAAAACCTTGCCCTGGATTCTGCATTCAGGTCCACCACCTCTGCCCAAGGTCTCAGAACTGAAGGCTCTAAGTCTGGAGGGCCACGCGCATGTTGACAGGGCAGTGAAAAAGCAGAGCGTCGCAGGAGGAGGGAAAACAGGGTGGGGCACAGGTCTGGACCGGGAGATAGGCACTGGGAGGTGCCCAGGGGGACAGATGGCTGATGCAGGGAGAGCCTGGGGCCCCGGACCAGGCCCGGACCCAGGAGAGATCACTAGAGAAGAACTGGCAGTCTGGGCTCTTGTCTAAGCCCTGTTGCTATCTTGCTGTGTGACTGAAGGAAAGTCACTTGCCCTCTCTGGGCTCTGTATAAGATGAAGCGTTGAGTTAAAACAGGGGTCAACAAACTTCTGTAAAGGGGCCAGATAGTATTTTAGGCTTTGCAGGACATGTATGGTCTCTGCCACACACACATCGCTTGCCCTACCCTGAACCCTCAACTTTTTAAAACTATGAAAACCATTCTCAGCTTATGGGTCATATAAAAACAGGTCATATTTGGTCTGCAGGCAATAGTTTTGTTAACCCTTGAGTTAAAGAAAGGGAATCCAATCTGTGTTCTGCAGATACCTGCTCCCATCCACCACACACACAAAAAGCCTCTTCCAGGGAATTCCCAGGCAGTCAAGTGGTTAGGACGCGGCACTTTCCCTGTCATGGCCTGGGTTCAATCCCTGGTCGGGGAACTAAGATCTCACAAGCCAAGACCACAAAAAAAAAAAAGCCTTTTCCACCAGACCAGTTCTAGCTCTGCATTTGTTTAAACACCAGGGTTCTATTTAGGGGAATTCTGCTGCTAAGAAAACAAAAAGGGCAAAAACCATTTGGAGGGACAGGCCTTGCAGAGGCTCCCCTTTCTACTCCTACCCAACTCCCAGTCTCCCTGGGAAGCCCTCAGGGACTCTCCCCCTTCCTTACTTCTTGGCAACAGCCTCATTCTACCTCTTGCCAGGCGTAGGCAGCTTATAGCTGTACCACCCACCTCCCAGCTACCGTCCTTCCTTGATTTGTTCTGTGCCTGGTGGAGAGATTCCTGGGCTACGAGTGTGGAGACCAAGGTTCAAGATACAGTTCCACTGCCTTCCAGCTGGGAGGCCTTGGGCAGGTCACATCAACTCTGTTTCAGTTTATTTATCTCTAAACTGGGACAATAAAAACCACCCCAAGAATTGATGTGAGGAGTTCTGTGATAATGGATGTCCTTGAGACATAGTTGTGGTTCAAAAAACCTTTGTTATCATCTCCTAAGAAAGTGTTGAGAACTTCCCTGGTGGTCCAGTGGTTAAGAATGCACCTGCCAATGCAGCAGATATGAGTTCAATCCCTGGTCCAGGAAGATCACACATATCACAGCAACTAATCCTGTGTTCCACAGCAACTGAGTCCATTGTTGAGCCTTCCTCGGAAAACCTACAGTTTCCATTTACTAAGGGCTGATTGAGTGTCAAGGAGCTTTGCTATTAGTTGTTACAGAAGTAGCAGGACTAATGGCAGAGACCACCATAATGATAATAATAGGTAACTATTATTGCTATTAATAAACAATATGGCCAGTTATCGCCAGGCATAGTTCTAAATGCTTTACCTATATATGTAGTTTTTGGCTGCATCTTGCAATATGCAGGATCTCAAGTCCCCCCAACCAGGATTCAAACCTGTGTCCCCTGCATTGGAAGCGTGATATCTTAACCGTTGGATCACCAGGAAAGTCCCCACCTTCCTTATATTTATTAACTCATTTAATTTTCACAACCTGTGAAGTAGACCCTATTAATTACTATGCCCAAGTTACAGATGAGGAGATTAAGACAAGGAAAGGTTAAGAAACTTGTCCAAGATCATACAGCTGGTAAGCAGAAGAGCTGGGATTCGAACACAGGCCGTCCTCTGCCCAGAGCAACATCAGTGTTCCCACTGAGACAAGGGATGTACGGGTGCTTTATAAAGTGCAACGTGCAGTGCACACACGTAGGGGGAAGGACTGTCTCCCTGTTGCTGGGTAGAAGGTAGGTATCCCACAAACGCTGATACGGAAGAGGAAGACTCGAAGGCCGGTGCCCCACCCATCCCCTGTCCCTCTGGACAGGAGGTCTCACCGGAGGATGCCGTGGGTTCCGTGACCCCAGGGTCGCTGCTGCTGCTGGGCTGGGTGGAGTCAGGGCCGGGGCTGAGGACGGAAGTGGAGGGGAGGGGCTCCTGGGCAGGACTGTGGGGCTCCTGCACCTCTTCCGGGCACAGGTAGACCTCGATGGGCCCCTGTGTGCTCTTCAGATATATCTGCAGGTTCTCCTGGAGAAGGGAGAGAAGCCAGGTCGTGGGTCTGGGCGCCAGGGCACTTACTCATGGCTCAGCGTGTGTAGACAGACACACGAGGCTCTCAACGTCCATGCGAGCGCGCAGCCCCTGCGTTGGGCGCTGGGCCTGCCCCGTGTGGCCTGTGGCAGAGAGCTGTCTGGGCCCAAGACCTCCCCCACCCCTTCTTTTAGGGAGAAAGCTTTGATTTTCCTTTGAGAAACCGCTCCTCCCCTACTCTCAGGCCTGAGCTGGTATCATAAAAGCTGTCTTTGCTACTGCAAGGGGGAGCTGGCCCAGAGTATGGCAGAGAGAGAGAGAGAGAGAGAGACGGAGGGTGTGAGGCCAACTTGAAGTCCCAATTTGAGCGCTTGAATCCAGCCTTGCCTGCAATCCCCCAAATCTTCCCCTGGACCCGTCACTTGGCTCCCCTGGGGTGCCCCTCACTGAAGCGGGCTGGACGTGGCTGTCTGTAACTGAGAGACTGATATTTGGCTTTCCCACCCTTGCTTCCTGCCTGCCTCAACCAACCTAAGCCACAGCCGATAACAGAGGTGCTGCTCCTGATGGTATTCGGGTGTCTGCGCCTATGCCCAGGCAGCCCCTCTGCCTGGCCCTACTTCTCCTGGCAAAGACCCTATTCACTCTTTAGGATTCAGTTTACCTGTCATCACCTGTGGGCCCTTCCTCCAACTCTCCTTCCTCCAGGCCCTCAAAGCAAGACAGCGTCACTGCTCGCTTGGCTGGCTCTTTTTCCCACCAAGTCCTGAGATTCTTCAAAGGGCAGGGCCCTTATTTATCTTAATGCTTTTCTGCTAAACAGATAACGTCCCGAGCCCTTATTAGACTCTGGGTTGGGAGTACAACATGAGTGGAACACGGTTCTGTGGAGGTTACCCTCTAATAGAGGAAGCGGCACGTAATTATGTAATCTTCGATACATCCTGGCCAACGGAGGTTAAATGTGACGGAGAAGGACAGGTGGTTATGCAGCTGGGGAGTAATCAAGGAAGGCTTCCTGAGGAGGTGACGTTCACGTTTCAACCTGTAGGATGAACAGCCGTAAACCAGGCAGAGAGGGACTTCCCTGGGGGTCCAGTGGTTAAGAATCTGCTTTCCAGTGCAGGGAACGAGGGTTCAAGGAAGCTGGTCGGGGAACTAAGAGCCCACGTGCCCTAGAGCTCACGTGCTGCAAAATACCAAGCCCACGCGCTCTGGGGTCGGTGCCGCAACCAGAGAGCCCGTGTGCTGCAACTAAAACCCAAACAGAAATAATGACGCTGAGAGGGGGAAGAGCATTTCGGCTGGAGGGAACAGCACGTCAGAAGGTCTTGTACTGGGGTTGAGCTTAGCGTGGTGTGGGGACTGCAGGCAGGTCAGGGTGGCAGGAGTGAAGCCAGGACAGGAGCAGCAGAGAGGAGGTTGGAGGGGTGAGGGCTCAGACGGTCTCATAAGGTGTGTAAAGAACGCTGGTCTTTAAGCTAGGAGAGCACGGTTAACAGGGGAGGATTGCTGTGAGTACCGACAGCGCTGTGTGTGGGTGCACAGGAACTCAGGGCCGGCGGGAGGCAGAGGGAAACCGGGAACAGAGAGCTTTCTCAGGCCGGTACCTGATGCCCTTGCCAGCTTCTGCCTCTTCTGCCCCAGCTCGGAGACCATCAGCCTTGCCAAGGCCACCGGCACGGACCTGCGAAGCTTGGGCCTGGGCAGTGCCGGGGACAGAACCCGCAGGGCTGCCTGCAATGTCCCTGGCCCTGCCCTCCACCAGACGCCTCCCCTCTCACCTCACTCCTGTCAGGCACCTCCAGTCTCGTCTGCGGAGGGGCCTTGACCGCAATCACCGTCTGCTCCTTAAAGTTGCCCACAGCACGGATGTCCTGGTACGTCACGTAGGCCAGTGTAGGGGCAGGGGAGTCAAGAGAAGCGACTGTTGGGTCGAAATTCAAATTCCCAGCCTGCCCAGCACGGATCTGAACCCACCTCTCAAAGCCTCTAACCATCCCCTAACTATAACCTGTGCTTTTAATATCATGAGCTACATTGAACCCCTTGAGAAATAGGGGCATAAATCATTGTTTTTAAAATTTGCCTTAGGGATTTTCCTGGCAGTCCAGTGGTTAAGACTGCACTTCAAATGCAGAGGCTGTGGGTTCGATGCTTGGTCAGGGAACTAAGATCCCACTTGCCATGTGGTGTGACCAAAAAAAATAAATAATGCTGCCTTATATCATGTAGAAGGCAATGGCACCCCACACTAGTCCTCTTGCCTGGAAAATCCCACGGACGGAGGAGCCTGGTGGGCGGTAGTCCATAGGGTCGCTATGAGTTGGACACGACTGAAAGACTTCACTTTCACTTTTCACTTTCACGCACTGGAGAAGGAAACGGCAGCCCTCTCCAGTGTTCTTGCCTGGAGAATCCCAGGGACAGGGGAGCCTGGTGGGCTGCCGTCTATGGGGTCGCACTGAGTCGGCCACGATTGAAGCGACTTGGCAGCAGCAGCCTTATATCAGCTTTTTACATAATGGCTTCAACTGTTAAGCCAGATTATAAGCTCTGTCTTATTTCTTTATATTTCTCACAATGCCTCCCATCCTTACAAAAATATAAGGTCAGATCCAAATGCCAATTAGAGGGTCAAACCATTTGGGGAAACTGTCTGTACAGCCATTGCAAAATTCATGCTCTTTGACCTCGTTGAGTCACTCCTAGGAATCTGACCCAGGGAAATAAGTAAAAAACTCAGGAAAGGGTTCTATCTGTAAAGATATTCATCACAATGTTGCTTTACAGACACAGAAACCTAGAACTGGTCTCAATGCCCGTTCTAGGTCTTGTCAACAAACCACAGTGGGCTCAGTAGGACATTCTCAAACCATTTAAAATATGAGGTTAAACCATATGAAACTGCTGTTTTTTATAGCTTAAAAAATGGTCCAATACCAATTTCAAGTGAATCAACCAAAATAATTAGGAAGGATGTATAACAACGTAAAAACCACCTATGGTAATATACTACGTGGAGGAAAAAAGTGAAAGTGAAGTCGCTCAGTCATGTCCAACTCTTTGCGACCCCATCGGCTGTAGCCTACTAGGCTCCTCCGTCCATGGGATTTTTCTAGGCAAGAGTACTGGGGTGGGTTGCCACTGCCTTCTCCAGGGGATCTTCCTGCCTGACCAGGGATCGAACCTGGGTCTCCTGCACTGCAGACAGACGCTTTACCGTCTGAGCCACCAGTGAAGCCAAGTGGAGAAAAGCAGGATATATTAAAACGCTGTCTACAGCAGGTACACGCTCTATTTATTTTTCTCCATATACTATGTTTTCTCCATTTTCCAGATTTACGGAAACGTACTTGTCTTTTTTTTTATCGTGAGAAAGTAACTTCAATAGACCCAAGAGGAAAAGCTACCAAGGAAATCTTTCTTCGGTGATAACGCCAGACCCCTGGGGTGGGTCAGCCCCTCCGAGAGGTTCTGCATCAGCTCTGGGTGGTCACGAGCATGCCCCAGGCCCCTGCCCCCAGACCCCTTCTTCCCAACCAAGGAGGATATCTCTTGTTGGCCTTGTCCTCCGTCAGGTGCTTGAAGTGCAGAGAGCAGCTGTGGATGAGCTGGTCCAGGGTCTGCTCCATGCTCGTCAACTCCTTCAGCTCCTGCCCCAGCTGCTGCTGCTTCCCAGGCCGCGTGGGGTCTTCAAACAGCCCCCGGCCTCTGGGGACAGAACAGCCGCCCCACCCAGCGGTGTCAGTCTCAGTCTTCACCCAGGGCCCCCCACCCCAGGGCTGTGGTGCCAAGCTGCACAGGCGGGGCAGGCAAAACTCCAGGAAGAGGCTGTTCACAGGGTCTGTGAAGGTGCCCCCTGGCTTGTAAAGACCAGTGGTCCTGCCCACCTCCCGGGGAACTGCCAGGGATTGAAACTTGAGTTTTGGGGGTTGGGCTAGGGAAAAGAAACAAGTCAGGGCCTGATTCCACTTTTGGGGGGCGGAGGCTTTCAACGTTACCCACCCCATGCCGCAGGCTCCTCCAAATGGCAGGGAGCTGCAGTGACCTCACTCCTCTGCCTGCGTTCTCTTAAGAGCTCATGCCAGGGGTTACAGGTCTGTTCCATAAGACCTTGAAGAAGTGAGGGATGGAGTCCTTATCTCAGCTGAAAGGAGTCTAGGTTACTACTGCTCAGCATCCCAGAGGACTGTCCTAAGTTAGAAGAAGGCAATATTGGGACCCCTGGCTCAAGAAGATCTGGGGTGGGATGTTTCGAGAGAACAGCATCGAAACATGTATATTATCAAGGGTGAAATAGATCACCAGCTCAGGTTGGATGCATGAGACAAGTGCTCGGGGCTGGTGCACTGGGAAGACCCAGAGGGATCGGGTGGAGAGGGAGGTGGGAGGGGGGATCGGGATGGGGAATACATGTAAATCCATGGCTGATTCATGTCAATGTATGGAAAAACCACTACAATACTGTAAAGTAATTAGCCTCCAACTAATAAAAATAAATGGAAAATAATTAATTAATTAATTAAAAAAAAAAGATCTGGGGTGCTCTTAGCTTCTACACGCGCTGGATATTGCTCTCTGATCCTGCCACGCTCTCCTCATTTTATTCTAGCGTATACACTTGCGCTTCCATCCCCCTCTTAAACACATTGGCTCCACCCCCAGCGTGTAAGCTCATTGGATGTTGCCTCCGATTTCCCCAGCCAGCGTGTGTGCCCATTGGATGTTGCTCTCAGGCCGCCTCCCACAGCGCAACCTGCGGCTATTGCCCCTGGCCCCGCCCACTGCACCTGCACGCATTGGTGCCACCTGCCCCAGGCCCAGGCACTCACACCCACTGGATGTTGTTCTTGGCCTTCTTGCGGATGAGCTGGATGCCCTCCAGCACGTTGGTGATGTCGTAGATGCGCCGCTTCTGCACGTCCAGCACCTCAGCAGCCCAGTTCAGGTCCAGAACCCCATCCTCAGACTCACTCAGGAGGTAAATGAATTTCTTGGTGAGCAGCCCCAGCGATGTGTCATAGCGAGTCTTCTCCCCGGGGGACTTGGGGGCTGAGGAGGAAAGGGGCTCAGCCACTGCTCAGAGAGGGGCCCCTGGGGACCTTCCTCCATTGACCTGAAGCCACTAAGCCCCTCCCTTCACATGAGCACCCACGTCCCAGTTTACAGAGTGCTGGGAAGGTGGTCAGTCACCAGCAGTGTTCAAACATTGTTCAAACTAGACAGGCAAAGTGACTTGCTTCAGGCTTCAAATTGTGGAGGCGTTATCAGGGCTGGAAACCAAATACTCTAACTCTAGGTTCACACCTTTCCACCAAAGCTCAGGGCAGCCATACCACCACCAATACCAACAACAAATGCTTACTGTGTGTAGGCCACTGTTCTAGGCACTTCCCATATACAACAGATTTAATCCTTATAACACCCTATAAGTTTGGCATGGAAGCATCCCCATTTCACAGATGAGATACTGAGGCACAGACAGACTAAGTAATTTGCTAAACTCCCTCAATTAGAAAGTGGCCAAGTTGGCACTTAAATCCAGGTAGTCTGGCTCCAAAAGTCTCCCTTCCTAACCACTACCCAATCCTACTAGTTATGTCAGGAATTTGGAATTAGGGTAGGAAGGAAATGACAAGAACATGTTTATAGACTTATTTTTTTTTTTTCTTTCAGTTTTGTTGAGATATAATTGACATCCAGCACTGTATAAGTGTAGACTTGCCTTTTCTTTCTATGTGTCATCCTGTGATTATCTGAGAGGAATCAGTCCTGTTATGTCACATGCAGCAGGTTCATGAAAAAGGTCCCTTTCTTAATGAGGTCGATGTCACAAGACCACACCTCAGCTGCAGCATCTTAAACCACAAGAAGACTTTTGCAATCTAGTGACTTGCAACTCATATAGCAAGTTAGTGGCTAAACTAGTTCTGGGAAATGAGTTTTAGAGAGTCTCAGATTCCTCTAGAAGGGGGCTTTAGAACCCCTTAATATATAGATAGCAAGTATTTGGCACATAGACAGCTTTGTCAATTTTTGCATCCAAGACAGACATTACTAATTGATTGGGATCCTTCAATGAAGAGCTCTGGGAAGACTCTACTAGTCAACTGAGAAGAAACTTTCTTACTATTCCTGATCTGGCTGTGCCTTGTTTTACAGATGATACGGCTAAGGAGTGACCACTCATGTCAGGGCCCTGCCCAGACTTGTAAGTTCCAGAGCCTCCATCTTCCAACCCAGCCACATACCTTTTTTTATTAGGTCTCAGTTCCCCCAAATTAGTGTTAATACCATTGCTCAAACTCCCCCTCAAACCAGGATGGTGCTCAGTCACTCAGTCGTGTCTGACTCTTTACAACCCTATGGACCGTAGCCCGCCAGGTTCCTCAGTCCATGGAATTCTCCAGGCAAGAATACTGGAGTGGGACGCCATGCCCTCCTCCAGGGGATCTTCCTGACCCAGGGACTGAACCCAGGTCTCCTGTATTGCAGGTGGATTCTTTACTGCTGAGACACCCTTGGAAAGCCCTCAAAGCAGAATACGGATTCCAAATATCAAGAGGCAGGAGCTGGCTTCTGGCCCTGACGCCACTGACTAGCAGTATGACCTTGGGCAAGTCACTGAAGCTCCAGGTCTCCAGCTGCCTCATCAGTAAGAGGGGAATAATCAACCTGCCTGGCAAGATCCAGTGAGAAGCTATAGGACACTGCTTTGTAAACCAGAAAGTCTGCTACGAATATCAGTCCTAGTGACTTGGCCGGAGCTGCGGCCCTCTGGCCCTCCCCACTCCAACCTCGTCTCCTGAGCCTGCCTTGAGATAATACCTCATCGGCGTGGGTATCTTACTTTTGGGGCTGGGGAGGCCATCCACTCTAATGCACTTCCCCTTGGGAGTCCGGAATTCAGGGACCGTGGGCCTCCCGATCCCCTCCAGGTCCAGCTTCCTTTTGGCCTTGGGGAGAGAGAGGAGAGAAAGGCAGAGTTTGAGAAGCATTCCTGCTTTAGCCTTTCCCTGACCTGGGGCCAAAGCCCTGAGGCCGCCAGCAGCCTCCTCCTGCCTCAGTTTACCACCAGTCCTGGGTGAAAAAAAATCACTGTAACCTGGTAAGGAAATATCAGTGACTTGAAAAGTAAGCTTTCAGGGGAAGGAAGTCCTATTGCTGAGGGGCCCACCACACTCCCATCTTCTGAGGCCCAGGCCCTCGAGGCTACCAAAGCCAGTCTGGGTTTTAATGCAGGGTTCCTTAATTAGAAGCCCCAAGGTCACTTCTGCATCCGTCTCTCCACCCCGTCCAGGGATGACACAGGGAGGAAAGAATGGGTGGGGCCTACACCACATCAGGCTGGGGAGAGCCCCCCTCCCCCCTTGCAGAAGCAGCTGGCCCAGCCAGACCGAATGCCCATCACAGCCTCACAGCTGGCCCTTTATCAGGGTGGGGCTGGGCATCCGCCCAGGCTCAGGGGACTTCCTGGCTCCGTGCCACACCCCAGGGAGGTGCCTACATGGGGAAGAAGTGCAAACATCCCCCCACCCCCATGTGTGGGCTCCAGCTCAAGGGCCCCAGGAGCCTCCTGAATAGACTCTATTTGCCATTCTTTCTTTGCTGAGAGGGGCAGACAATGAATCCTTCCCCTGTGTCTTAAGGACAAGCAGCTGAGGTCCCCCTGCTCCCCCCTCCCTGTTCCCGCCAAGCTTGGGAAACACCTGCTGGGGAAATCAAACCACAGACCCATCTGCTCCTCTCCACCCCACTGCCGCCCGGCCTCAATTACGCCCAGAAGCGGTGCTGGCCCGGAAGGGGCCTCTCTCCCTGCGAGGGCTGGGCAGAGGCAGGGTTGGGGCACTGGGGCACTGGGGCACAGGTCAGAGATACGGGCTTGGGTCTCCCCACTCCTTCACAGGCTCGCTGTGCGACTCGGGAAACGCTCCACATTTAGGAGCCCCTGTTTCCTCCTCTGTAAGATGAGGGCTGTCCTAAAGCTTCAAGGAGACAGATAACCTTTGTCAAGTGCTCAGCACTCAGTAGGGGTTCAGGCTAATCTCAGCTTCTTCTTTGACAAACTATTCTGGGGGTCGCTGAACCCATTTCCTTCCTCTCCCTTTCCCCCAGTCACCTAGACACCCCTACCGTAGCTAAGACAGAGAGGCCTATTTTAACCTTTGGTGGTGAGGTCATGCTCAACAGGGCTGAGACTTCTAACTGCTGCTGATCACAGCTGGGCTGACAGGTGTGGGAGGTGATGACGGCTCTTGCTGCTGTCAGCTCCCTTCCCCCGTCTCATGCCTCCTCCCCCCCTTCTCATGCCTCCTCCAGGAAGTCTTCCTGGACTGATCTGAGGAGCCCTGTTCCTTGGTTTGCGGAGCCTGGATATGATTCTCCTCTCCTCCACCCCCACCCAGACCTGGACATTATCCAAACGCCACACCTCTCAGCTTATTCGATTCTCTTGTTGAAGTCTCTCTGGAATATTCTTTTTCTAACCTCCCAGCTGGGGAGATGCTAGATTCTAGGGACGGTGACCTGCTCTAGTCCCATCTTGTCTATAGAAAAAGTCCTACTCATTCACTGAGACCTTCTACCTGCCTTAGACCAAGTCCCAGCATTCATCACCTCACTGAATCTTTTCCATACCGCAAATCCCCACTTTACAGCTGAAGAAATGGAGACCTCGTGAGTTCAGGGCAAGGAGAGGAAGGGAAGTCAGGCTGAGCTCTACCTGAGACAGAGATGGCGCCCGGTCTCCCCACCCCCACCCAAAGAAAACCGGCCTCTGCTGAGTTCACAGAACACACCAGAAGAGCCACAGACCTGCAGAGCAAGGAGGGGAGGGCCGTGAACGGAGTACCCGTGCGGGGCCTATCGCATGCTCACCAGCGCTAACTCATATGGCAATCTCTCTTCAAGAAGGAGAAGCGGAGACTCAGAGAGGGTAAGCCATGTGCCCAAGGCCACACAGAGAGGACAGCCAGAGTTTGAACCCAGGTCTGTCTGACTCCAAAGCCATGGGCCAGATGGCTCAGCTCCATCCCATACACATTGCCCAAGAACCTGCTGAAATTCAAGTCAAGACCTGGCTGTGTTCACCTGCCCCCATCACTACTTCACACACACACACACACACACACCGCCCCCATCACTACTTCACACACACACACACACACTGGTCCCCTCCCTTTTCTTCCTCCCTTTCACCTGGTTGTGTTCATCTGCCCCCATCACTACTTCACACATGCACACACCAGTCCCCTCCCTCTTCTTCCTCCCCTTCACCCTTATCCTGCACTCTCAGGGTCCGTAAGCAGCAAACTGTGAGTATGTCTCGCTGACACCTTTGAGCACTGCACAGAGAAAAGTCAGCACGGATGCGCCTGAGCCCGGACAGCAGAAGCGGCAGACGACCAGCCCAGGAGGATGAGGACCGAGGGGAGGATGAGGACCGAGGGGAGGATGAGGACCGAGAGAGGCTGAGCACAGGCTTTGGAGCCAGAGCCACTCGGGTCCCCATCCGGGCGGACCTCCTGAGCCCCACCAGCAGAATGGGGATGCCTGCTCATCCCCCGTCATCGGGGATCCCATGAGAGGGCAGCACAGGGCTTGCTCATGCCACGGAGCTGTGATCGCTAACCAGGGGCACCAGCGAGGGGAGGGCTCAGAGGTGAGCCCAAAAGCATCGGGGATGTGCCTCAGAGTAAAGGCCAGCTGGGCTCCAACCTGACCCTGTTAGGCAGCCCCTCTGACTTAACCTAAAGGCCTGATTAAGATTCCAGTCCACACTGGCAACCCCACAGGAGAAGAACGAAGTTCCTTGCTCGGGCAGCCCTAGAGGCAAGAGGGCCAGTGATGCCAGACACCACCCCCAACAGGTGAGGTAACCCAGGCTCAGAGGAGGGGAGGTGACTTGCCCAAAATCACACGGGGAGTGGAGCCGCGTCTCTCCTGAATCCCAAGTCCTAAGTTAGAGGGTGAGGGGTAGAAGCCGGTGTTGAGGAGCTGAGAGCTTCGCTTCCAGATCCCCCTGGCCTCCCTATGCCTACATTTCCTCATCTGACCCACCTTGTAGGGGTGCTCACTAAAATGCTTGTTTTCTTTGCTGATTCTCAGAGGAAGTTTGGAAAATACAGACAAATGAAAAGCAAAGAAGTCTGCAGGATCCCACCCTTTTCCCAGGCTCCGGCAGGGTGAGGCCACGTGCCCGACTGGAGCCGGATCACCCCACAGGTGGTGGAAAGAGCTCTAGCCAGGGAGCGAGGAGACCCGGGTGCCCGCCTTCTTTCTGCCACTGATCTTGGTTGCCATCCCTGAGCAGTGCCTAAGGTCCCTTTAAACAGCAGCTCCCCACCAAATCCTGCCTCACCCTGCACTTTGCAGCCTGGCCACAAAGCAAGTGGCCACACCCAGGGTTGGGGTTGGAGCTGCTCCTGGTCGCACCCTATGAAAGTGAGTAAACAGGGGGCCAAGGCCTGCCCACAAGGCTTCGGGACACCAGGCAGCCGGGGACTGGCAGTAGAGGGGGCCCTGGGCCCCGGAGGCCTTTAGGGTGACCTCAGGCAAAGAGATGCTCCCACGTCTTGGCTGAGGACCTGGACAAGTGACTTCACAACTCGGCTTAGTTTCCTCATCTGTGAGATGCCTCATCCCAGGCATCTTGACCAAGATAATGAATGTGAAGAGTGCCAAGCAGTGCCTGGCACATGAGATGCATTCAGTAAAAGAGCCATTCTTGCTATGATCACTGAGCCCCTCCGGGAGGGAGGTACAGACAGATGCACTCGGCTCCTCTGGGAGGCAAGCAGCTCAAAACCACAGCTGTTACTAAAACTCTGCCGGGTCGCCTGAAAGCAGCTGGCCAGAGGAGAGACTGGGCCCACCACTGAGCCCCCTCCCTGGGTGCACTCAGCTCCTAAATCAGGCGGTACTGGAGAAAGTCAAGCAGAGAAGAGACTGTATCTCCCTATATAACTTCAGACAGGTTACATCCCCTCTCCGAGCCTCAGTTTCCCCCTGCAACATGGAGCTGCTAACACCATCTACTTCCTAGGGTACAAAACTGTTTTAGATCGTAAAATAGTCATCAAGAGATAGATGCAAAACTCCTGGTTATCCTTGGGTGCTTGACTTGTAAAAATAGGAAAAGCACTCCTGCCTCCTTCCCCCTAATTGGAAAGAATGTACAGGAAGGGGCTCTGAAAGTTTAAAGCCTTGATCATGAGCAAAGCAGGATTCCAGAAGCAGGAAGTGGGGGCTCTGCCTGCAGCTTGGGAGCCGAAGCCTGCTGACTGACACAGGTCTAATCAGCGCCTCTAGATCAGAGGCACTGGGGCAGAGGGGGTTATCAGTTTCTGTACATGAACTTGATTCACGTCTCACAACAAAGCAACCTACAACACCATCTTCCTTCCCCGATCCTGCTTCCAAAACCCTGGACCTTGAGCTGGGAGAGAACTGAGGTGAATTAGTCCCACAGGTACCCACCCCCCCACACACAGATTTTCAAGACAAGGAAAATGAAGCTCAGACTCGGGCTAAAACTTGTTCAAGGACACACCGTGAATTAGTGGCACTCAGGATGAAAAACCAGGCTACCCAACTACCACCCCCACTCCCCACGGCTCTTCCCACTCCATCCCCACCCTACAGTTGTTTCATTTTTCATGGGCTCCAGGAATTCCACTCCCACGAAACACACCCTGTGCCTGGTGCCACCCCACTTTGGGCCCTCCCTGGCAACAGGCCTGGGGGTTTGAGAAAGGAACACTCCATCAGCAAAGGAACTTCAGAGGGCTGCCCCAACCTTGCACCTGCTACTGGCTGTCTGGGACAGAAGACGGGCTGGGGGTGGGGGGTGGGGGTGGTACCTAGTGCAGATAATTGGGAAAGAGTTGGCTGGATGGTAAATTGAGAGTCTCAGGCCAGCTGGATCTGAGAGACCTCCTCCTGTTTTAAAGCCCCCACGGTATCCCTGGGCTCAGCTCTGTGCTTGGACAATAGCAGGTGCCAAGTACTGGTTTCTGAACCAAACAATGAATGAAAGAATGAATGAATGACAGCAAACTGATTCCATAGATTTCCCCAAGGTCACAGGGTGCACTGGGGGTCGTGGATTGGGTCTCCACACTCCTGATTCAGTGTTCTTTCTATTCCATTCCAGTGGATGAGTTCATTTTATCCCAAGTCTGAAAAGGAAAGGCTCTTCTCCTTAGATATTGGGGCAATGGGTTGTTCTGGAAGCTGAAAGCAACCCTTCTGCCTCCCCAGACTCGATCTGCCTCACTTAGACTAGGTCCCAGGCGCCCCTCCCGCGTTTCCCACACCCGTAAAAGCAGAAAGGGAAGCGGTGGGTGTGGGTGAGTAGGGGTCCCCAGCATTACCGGCAGCCGGCCAGCCGGCACGCATCGCACAGCTTGACCCTCCGGTCCGTGGGGGGTGGCGTCGAGGCAGGTGCCGGGCGCCGCAGCGGGAGGCACAGTCTGTGGATACAGCTGGGTGTAGTAGGTGGTGGTGGCCGGGCAGAGCTGGGGGCTGCTGAGGCCCGGCGACCACAGCTCCGTGGGGCTCATCGCGGGCAGCCCCTTTGGGGGTGGCCCGGCTGCCGGAGCCAGGGCCCGAGGCCCCCGCAGCATGGCGAGTGCAGCGCCCCCCTTCCCAGCCAGGCCTGGCGCGCGCGCCGGCACCTGCGGGCTTCGGAGCCCGCGGCGGCTCACACCGCCCGCGGCATGGCGCGGAGGCCAGGCAGAGCCGGACCCTCCTCTCCTGGCCCGCAGCCGAGCCGGGCAGCGCTTGGAGATCGCCGCTTGGAGATCGCCCGGCGCCGGCGGCGGCGGCTGCGGCAGGGCCAGGGGCTGCCCCGCCCCTGGGGCGCCCGCGACCTGCGAGGGCCCCGCGCCCCCGGAGGCTTCAGCCCCTCGAGTCCGGCGCGCTCCGGGGAGGGGGGCTCTGGGATGCCCACAGGCTCGGCAAAAACAGCGATGCACTCAGATGGGGGAGGGGGACCGATCGCTCCGACTCCCTCTCGCCTCGATCTGAAGTCCCGGAGTCTTTCTCTGCGGCTTTTTTTTTTTTTCCTTTTTTTTTTTTTTTTTTAGCGCGAAACTGCGTGCCGCGAAATTCGGATCTCCCGCGGAAAAAGCCGGGCTCCGATTGGTCGCTGCAACAGGCACAGGCTCCACCCCCCGGAAGGACCATTCCCCCGAGGTGGTGATTGCAACACAAGCTTGATGCTTAAAGGGGCCGCCGTACCTGCTGTCGCCCGGTGCCCTCCCTCTCTGGCAGCCCGAGAAACCGACCCGGAGGGTGGTTCCCAGACAGCGGAGGCAACCACGCCCTGAGGAATGGGTCCGAATACCCTGGGGGTGGAGGGGATCTTTTGGCATGGAGTCTTTGGCCTAAGCCCAAACCCAGTGGTACATTGCCCGAGCTGCAGGCCTTTTGTTAGTTTGCATTATAGCTCAGCTAACGCTAATGTAGAGGTATTTATATCCTTTTCCCCGCTGAAATGAAAGCCAGAAAAGTCTACTCTTTCTTGGCACGGGGCGGGGTGGGGGTGGGAGGGCGAGGGGCAGAGACTAAGATTTATACCTCTTCATAGGGGGATCCTAACATCTATCGGATGAGATGGTTGGATGGCAGCACTGCCTCAATGGGTATGAGTTTGAGCAGGCTCCGGGAGTTGGTGAGGGACAGGGAGGCCTGGTGTGCTGCAGTCCATGGGGTCGCAAAGAGTTGGACACGATTGAGCGACTGAACTGAACTGAACATCTATCAATGGCCACAGCATGCCTAGCACCCTGCTAGATGATTGCTTGATCTTATTTTATTTAGCTGAATCCAACAATTGCCAGAAAAGAAGTGATGATCTTGCTGGTAAAGATGGACTGTCTGAGAGGTTAGGTCACTTGCTCAAGGTCACACAGAGAGACTGGCTGGTTTATGATCTGACAGTTCAGTCTGGGACAGGCCAGCTCCTGAGCCCTTGTTTGTTCCAATGAAAGGATCCTCCCACGCTCTCCCAAGCTGAGCCCAGGCCCTTGCAGTCTTGGGTGGGAGTCCAGAGTGCAGAGCTCTGACTTGTCCACAGTTGTATTCCCAAAGCCCAGCACTCAGTGAATATTTGAAGATCTCCAGGTTTCTCCTCAACAACCCTTTCATCACAGGTCTTCCTTCCTTCTTGTCCAATAATCCATTTACATTCCTCATCTCTCCAGTCTAGAGAGGCCAAGGCTTAGAGAAGTAACCTTGGCTAGTGAGTGGCAGAGCCACTAAAAGGTGCTGCTAGATTCCAGGTCTGCTGATTCCTGCCTGCGTCTGTGTGATTTTTATGCAAGTCTGAACCTGGCATTCAAAGCACTTCTTCAGAGTCAGTTCCCAGCTTCATACTTGATCCTCAGATCTCGAAGATGAGATGGTAATAACGCGTGGGGATGAAGAACCCAGACTTTGAAGCAGAGAGCTTTCAAACCCAGACCTGGTCACCTTACTAGCTGTGAGCCCAAGCTCACACACTTTTGTAAACTCTCTGAACTTGGGTTTTCTTGTCCCTTATCACTCACTTCATAAGACTGTGGGGAAATCTCATGAGATAATGCATGCAAAGCTCTCAGCACAGAGCATGGTTTACAAGGAACCCCGAGAAATGGCAGCTGTGGTTACATCTCTGACCTTATCTCCAGTGCACAGATCCCTTTACTCCAGTCTACACATTTCACTGGTCTTTCATGGCTCAGTTTATTTTTTAAATTTTTATTATGATTGTGTTATGTTATTTGAATGAAGATAGACTTTATTGCCCAGGAATTAAAACCGTTTGAACATGTATTTTTCTATATAGCTTATCACAATATTTCAGGCAATGAAGAATTTTTTAAACACCACAGCTAAGGACTTGAATATTCATCTGCAAGTACTTATATGCTTATTATTAACACATGCATGTATGTTCTTCATGGTTTTCTCACAGCCATCCTCTACCACGAGTTTTTGGAAAACATTTATCATGACAACCTTCACTCACCTTCACCTCACAGGCTCTGTTTCACCTTGAAGAGTCTGGTGACTGGCCTCCAGGTGCTGCTGCCCTGCCCGCACAGCTGATGGTGCCTCTGGCGACTTCTTTCCTCAGCAGCCACATGGGGAAAAGCTTCATGCCCTAGTTTAAATATCACCTCCTCCAGGAAGTCTTCCCTGCCTGCCTCCCCTCTCCTAGTCAAAGTGCTTCTCGCCCTTTTCTGGACCCTTTGTGTGTTCTGCCTCCACAAACAAGGCTTTGTTTCCATATGCTTTGTTTATCTGTTAGGTTCTAAGCTTCCTCAAGGGACCAGGTGGTATCCCTCTCTGAATGTCCCTCAGCATCTAGAGCCTGGCTTGGCATACAGAAGATGGATAATAAATATTGATTAAATGATTCATTCATCATCCCAGCAAAGACTGGCAGAAGTTAATGAGATCTGAAATCAGAGGCTCGGCAAACCCAGATTCAAGTCCCACTCTCCAACCTCCCAGCTGAGAACCCTCAGAGAGGCTGCGGCTCCACCTCTCCACAACAGTTTCCTCAACCATCAAATACAGGTGCTTCCACTTGGCCGGTGTCACTAGACTCCAGGGGTATTATTGGCTGATGATGATGTTGATGATTGCTAATATTTAAGGAACCTATGGTGTTCTGGGCTCCAAGCACTTGGGCCTCTTTTCTGATCCTCGTGCCACCCCTCTGAGACAGGCACTGTTATTACCCCCATTTTACAGATGAGAGAACCTGGAAGGAATTGTGGCAGAGCAGGTTTGGGGAAGGAACAGGGCCCCAGGGCTAGGAAGGGAAGTGGGGGTGGTAGGGTGGGGCTGGGATGAAAGAAGGGAGCCAGCAAGGGGGCCATGAGCCAGCTCTCTGCGGCTGAGTTTCGGGCAGCTGGGGCTGCCTTTAGAGTTTCACTGCCTGGGAACTAATTCCTGCCAGAGGTGTGGGATGCCAATCTGCAGTCTGTTGCCCTGAACTTGAATTCCTGCCCCTTCTATTCCTAGTGTAGGGCTCTTAGTCAGGCTGTTGGATCTCTCTGAGCCTCAATTTCTTCATCCTTGAAATGGGTATGGCAAAAGTGACCTTTCCATTCAAGATTCAATGAGGTGTTGGATATAAGGGGTGCACAGCAGGTATTTAATATATTTTCACTGAGCTTTGTGACCAGAGAGACCTTCACAAGAAACTAAACTAAAATACTTGCAGTTTTCCATTCACGTCCTATACGCTCTTGTTTCCCAGCCTTAACTTCCATGGCTCCATATCCACAAGGCCCCTCCTGCCTGCCATCCCCAAGTGACAGATCTGACCCATCCTTCAAGGTCCAGTTCAAACAGTGAAGTGGCAGGAATAGAGTCTGAGTAAAACTTCCACCAACCCATGCTTGTTTTTATCTTCATGCCCTCTCCCTGAGTGTGCCAGGCACATAGTAGGTCAGCAGTAAGTGATGATGGTGTTAAGAGTGCACGTCTCCTGAACACTGCCTCAGTGTAAGGCACCAACCAGCCACTTTATATGCATTATTATTTTTTTAATATTTATTTAGTTTTGACTGTGCTGGGAGTTGGTGATGGACAAGGAGGCCTGGCGTGCTGCAATCCATGGGGTCGCAAAGAGTCGGACACAGCTGAGCGAGTGAACGGAACTGAACTGTGCTGGGTCTTCATTGCTATGTGCGGCTTTCTCTAGTTGCAGGGAGCAGGGGTTACTCCTAGGTGTGATGCTTGGTCTCCTAGTGGTTTCTCTTGTGGAGGAGCACCGGCTCTAGACACTCAGGCTTCAGTAGTTGCAGCTCATGGCCTCTAGAGGGCGGGCTCAGCAGTTGTGGTGCATGGTCATGGTTGCCCTGCAGCTTGCGGGATCTTCTGGACCAGAGACCAAACCTGTGTCCCCTGCATTGGCAGGTGGATTCTTAGCCACTGAACCACCAAGGAAGTCCTACATGCATTATTATATTGAAACTTCCCAACTACCCTACAACGCTGTACAATAAGGGCATGTGTGCATGCGTGCTAAGTCACTTTGGTCTTGTCTGACTCTGGAACCCTATGGACTGTACTCTGCCAGGCTCTTTTGTCCATGGATTCTCCAGGCAAGAATACTAGAGTGGGTTGCCATGCCCTCCTCTAGGGTATCTTCCTGACCCAGGGACTGACAGAGGCTCGAATATGTAAGGAATTTGAGCTAGGGCTGGTTAAAGAGGAACGTGAAAGTGTTAGTTGCTCAGTCATGTCCAACTCTGTGATTATAGCCCACCAGGCTCCTCTGTCCATGGAATTCTCTAGGCAAGAATACTGGAGTGGGTTGCCATTCCCTTCTCCAGGGGATCTTCCTGACCCAGGGATCGAACCCAGGTCTCCTGCATTGCAGGCAGGTTCTTTACTATCTGAGCCACAAGGGAAGCCCAGTGGTTAAAGGGGAAACCAGGATCTGAACTCAGATCTCTGTCTCCCAATACACTGAGCTGTTACTTTGAATGAAGAACTCAATGCTGGAACCAACCCCACTGAAGGAGGGTATGTTCTGCCAGTGAACCCAGAGTTCCAGTGCTGCACCATTGTTGCAGGTGGGAAGAGTGTGCTCACAACTATCAGTCACTTTATAATTTCCGATGTTCAGCCCCATTTTCCAGATGAGGAAGCTGAGCCACAGGGGACGTTAAGAGAGGCTACACAGCTGGTAAGGGAGGCAGCCCTGTTCTAGTCAGAACCAAAAGCCGTGGAAA